AGTTTTATCGAAGCAACAGTTTAAAAAGATGCCACGAAACTAATTTGAAACGCTCTAAGACTGGAATCTATCAACCACACAGCAACTTTCTAATCACTTCTAGTCCCTTTCGAGCAAACAAAGTGCAAATACAACCCCCGCTAAAAAAGGAAACCCAATAGCTTGAAATACAGGAAGCCAAGCACTAGATGTTCGAAGCTGGCTTGTAGGGGACTAAAAGACAACTAATCATGGCTTCACTCTGGTATCCAGAGTCTAATTTTATTTAATGATGGTGTGGTTGCCCATGGGGACAGAGCATGTTTACTGATCAATAATAAATTCTTACATCATTGTTTGTAAACGGGTTGTTCAATTGTACCAAAACACTTAGACGACTCTACACCTCACGGCTCACAACACCCAAAAAATGACTTACGATGGTCTGGCGTTTGTTTATGTTCCTAACAAGCCGACATAAACTTACTGCTATCCTATTATTAGTGTTTTATGTCAATACTTCTGAATCTCACGGCACTGTTTGTCATTGTGAACGGTTTCCTATCGATGGGAAGCCCTTTGTTGCCGTTTGGAATTCTCCAACAGGTGGCTGCTACAAGAATTTCACCATAAAAATTGACCTGGACGATTATCAAATACGAGCGAATCCTCAACAGACATGGAACGGCAAGTACGTCGTCGTATTCTACAATGCTCAGCTAGGATACTATCCCTACTTTGTTAATTCTGCTGGGACTAGAAGCTATAATGGAGGAATGCCCCAGGTATGTGTGATTAGCAAAAGGTCACTCGGTTGTCAACAGGTCAATGATTCGCTTATCTCGGTCATTAAACAGATTTACATAATTTTGAGACCCAGTAAATTGTCTTTTACTGTGCTAGTAACTCAGTTCCCCACACATCAGGTTGATTCCAGTACTGCGGTGCTCGTCAAACCTTAATTTTTTTTAATCCGTTCCTCAAATCAAACCAAACAAATTCAATATTCTTGTTGTTATATGTTTTGTAAAATTCGTCCTTCTAAGAGAATCCGCAATTCAAATTTTTCGGAATCCAGAATCAAATAAAAATCAGTTTGAAGTCCAGAAAACACATTCTTTGGAATCCGGAATCCAGCGCTGGGCATCCAGAATCCCTCTAGTTCTGTGGATTMTTTTACATGATAAAATATGTCTTGGCTCTACACGTGTTTTATCAAAATATCCACAAAGTAGCCGATATTACAAGAAATGCTATTGATAGATCTTGATCGAAAAGTAACAATTATTGTTATATAAAAAATGTAATTAGGGAAGGTACGTTTATTATTGGGAGGGGAGGGCTGGAGTGAGAGAGGGAGAATCGAATATATCAATGCATACTTCCGTACTTCCTTGTGTCCATGTACCGGGGATGGGTGGAGGGTCATCAGTATTTTTGGTACTTTTCAAATTAAACAACACAGGGCCCAGTATAGATCCTTGTGGTACTCCATGGGTGACTGTGAGAGGAGATGATAGCGAAGGGCCCACACGAGTTGTCTGTTGTCTATCAGAAAGGTAGGATTCAAACCATTTCAAGGCATTAGCAGATGTTCCTAGATTACAGAGCTTATTGAGAAGCATTGAATGACTAATACTATCAAATGCTTTGCTCAAGTCAATTAGTACCATGAGTGTCACCTTTTTGTTATCCATCGCTCTGAAGATGTTGTCTGACACAAAAAGTCCTAGGGTCTCAGTGGAGTGTAACTTCCTGTTGCCACTCTGATGGGACGTCAATCTCTTGCGACTGACTGCACAACAGTCATTTTTCTATCATGCAATAAAGACCTTCAACTCTTTAAGTCTGCAAACGCGAAATGCGAATTCATTAAAGGAGTTCAAGAGACATGCGAGACTAGAATKACAAGTATAATTACAGAATATTATGTATTATAGACAAGTTTATATTTTATTATAATAATTATCATTGTAAATTGTAAATAGATATTTCAATTTTTTCCAACACTTATTGTAAATTAATTCTGAAAAGCCCGGTGGGAGGAATTAATGAAGATTATTGTATTGTATTGTATAGGGTCAAACGTTCAGTTTGAAAATTACTGGGGAGGGGCACACATTTTTTTTGGGAAAATAACTCTGAAAACTCCAGCCTCTCCAGTAATAAACGTACCTTCCCTTAAAATATATATTTAGCATTGCGACATAAATGACCTCCGTGTGACGGGTGATCTGTGGTACTTGTCTCTCACGCATTGACATCCGCTGGATGGCAAAAGTGCGGGTTCTGGGTACGAGATTGGGCTAATGTCAGCGGTATGCTAACGCCGGAAAGACTATACTCTGGAGGGATGGACCTCCCTGGWTACTTCCCACAAATCTGCGCGTCGCGCGCCTCAAATCGAGATCGTTCAATTAGAATGTAAACAAATTCATTAAAATAAGTGAAAAGTACTTTATGTGTTAAAACATAATTAATTAATTATTTTTTTTACCATAAGATGAAGCTACCGCTGCTGCATCGTTAGTTTGAAGTGATTTTGAATTAAATTCACTGCCGAGAAAGTGCACGAAAAGAAACATAATATTAACAGAGTAAGGGCTGATTATATGAGGCGGGCTGGCCCGGTTGACCGGGCTGGATCTGTTTGCCGAGATCTCGGTTTGTCTTCAAATACAAAAGATTCCGGCTGTGCGATTATATGGAAAGCGAGCCAGCCCGGTTTGCCGAGATCTCGGTAATCCACAACCGGGATCCCGGCAGACCGGGCTGAAAAAATCCCATATAATCGAAAGTCAAGCGGGCTGGCCCGCTTTAGTGCGCCCGCTATCCAGAAGTGTGTCAGCTGTTTTGCGTACAATACACAATCGTCGTAATTTTGCCTTTCTTAGCATTTTGTAAATGCGATGCTGCTACAGAAGCTATTTACGTTATTATGAAGCTATTGTGATTAACCGCGTTCTTTGAATCACATAAAGTTGCAGTATTCCATGATACTGGAAAAGCAGTGAAAAGAGCATACAAAATTGTATTAACAATATGCGAACAAATTTCCTTATCCTGKTCAAATTATTATCTCTATTTTGTGGAGATATAAATTTCCGCACCAATCCTTTGCGGCAAAACTTAATTGATTCAGCTGGGGTAGCCCGGCTAATCCTGTCTCATATAATTGCGAGATGGGATGAATAAATAATGATCTCGGCAAACCGAGCCAGCCCGCTTCATATAATCAGGCCCTTAGACTTTTGACAATCGCAAAGGGCTCAAATTCAAGGTACTCAAGAAAGAAAATAAAGTTGTTTTTTTNACAAATATATATATTATTTGCTTCTATTTTGCCGAAAACAGCATAAAACGACAATTTTCTTTCAAATAACAACACATCGCCAGATTTTCTAACATATTCTAGATATCGCTAAATGAGCTAGTCAAATGCTTAACTTGGGTTGCCTGTGGTCACAGATCAGCGGGTTTGTAGTACGTATTCCATGACACAAGCGTATAGAACAAACTAACAAGCGAATAGAAGCACCTAACAAGCGAACAGGGTCCACACTTGTTTTCACTTGTATATTTTTCTACAGTTTTTTTATCGACTTATTCSAACTTTTTAGCTACGCCTTAACTTATTTAAAGTTTTCTTATCAAATTTTCAACTTAGAATTATGAATTTAACATTTTATAGCCTGACCCGCCTAAACCTAACCCTTCGACTAGAGCTACAAAATGTAAAGCTTTTCCGTCGCAAATTATGCAAATTAGGTCAATTTTCTGTTTCAGAGCATTAAAATGACAAAGAAGAAAGTTTAGCACAAAACTTAGTTAAGGAACGGTTTTTACACCTTTTTAAAAACAAAATGAATTTTTGAAAACATTTGTGGTTATGCGCGGTAAAAGTATGCCTCATATTTTTCGTTGACTTCAAGTAACGTGTCTTTAGTCTTAATTAACGCACTTATGAGACTTTTTAGCACAAAACAAGTTTCGTTTATTTACAAAACTTTTCAATCGCTAATAAACTGTTACAATGAAGCGCGCCCCCTAWGACTTCATTATTCAATTCATCATTGGATTTTTCATTTTATTTTCAGTTGATTTATGCAAAATTAAATTCAAATCTCGAACTCAAATAGCCGACTTGCGAATTACTCATCAATAGTTACATACAAAGGAATCAAGACGAGGCSCCGTGCTTTTTTGTGAAAAAATCTATTGTCTTTAGCACGGCGCCTCGTCTTGATTCCTTTGTATGTGACTATTGATGCGTAATTCGCAAGTCGGCTATTGTATTATGGACTACAGGAAACCCGCGCGAGTTAACTTGCCGATAATCAACATCCAATGTGGCAAATCGAAACGGTTGTTTATATCATGCTGAATGCCCTTAGAGAGGAGATAATTGCGCAATATAACCAGGGTTGCCCTAAAAACGAAATAGCAGGTGGTTTACAAATATCGGCGAGCTCCGTTATAAAAGAAAAATAAGAAAATAACACGGCATTTCCAGCTTTCTGGGACCGTCATTCCTTTCTCACGAGGAGGAACAGATCCAACCAAAGTAACAGATAACATATTGCAATGCATCGAGTTGTGGAAATTAAAAATGCCCAGTTTTAATGTCGCATTCTTTGCATTATCCGTGGTATTTTTTTATACAAACCCATGGCGAAATCCATGTACTGCCGAATTGCCGTTTTTGCCCATGAACTCTGATTAGATTTACGTGTTATATTTCTTAATTGTTATAGCTAGTGGACGAGTGGTGAATTGTTTTTGGTGAATAGGCCGTTTGCATTATGACGTAACTTTACTACAACTACCAGAGAGCCTTGCGCATTTTCATTGTTATTCAGATTTTAAATTCCCTTGGAATTTGCATTATGGCGTAACTTTACTACAACTACCAGAGAGCCTTGCGCATTT